CCTAAATAGATATACATTACCTTTGTGGTAGTACTTTAGCTTCTGAAAGAATTTAGGAATAAATAAATAAAATTCATCGGTCACACTGAGCATATCCTTGTGGTGTTCGTCCACAGCGCAACGTGCTGTATGGGCAAGCCAAACTACCTCAAGCTTATCGGGAGGAGGTATCCGTGATGACGTGAAATAACAGGACTGCAAATCAACCTGAAGCAAGCACCAGTCCTCACCGTTCTTACACCGACCTCGCACACACTCACCCCAGGCCGGGTCGCATATTAGTTCGCACGCGATGGAATTCAGGACAAATACTGTCACTTTGACGTTATACAGTCCATATTGCCACACCTTCGGTGGACCTATCCATAGAGTGCAAAAGCTTTGGTCTGCCGGAACCCCTTCGCAAAGAAAATATCGCCGAAGATCCAGCAAATGTTACCCCTGCGCCGAAGAGTCAGCTCGCCCGAAAAGCATCAGTGAGAATTTGGGCACCATTCTCCTTCCCACAGCGATTGCATACAATAACTATCGTCTCTGGACCAGGAAGCTCGTCGTCCGGCTTCGCCACTTCTGACGCATCCTCGTCACTGTCGGCGTCAGAGAACTCCTCCGAGCGTGCCCAAAGAGGGCGGAGACGTGCCACCCAGAAGTTCAGCGTACTCCAGTCCTTTGCGTCGTCGGGTTCCACATCAGAGTCCAGCCAAGCGTTGAGGAGGAGAAGGACGTTGGCCCGCTTCTCGATGCAGTGCTGCGCGATCTCATAGGGTCCATCTTTCAGGGTCCAGAGAGCCGGAGGCTGCGCGTTAAGGTCCATGCATATGCCGAGTGCCATGGTATGTATGGGATGCGGCAGCTTGTAGGTCGCGAACCCGGTGCCTGCCGTGACATGTGTCAGACGACTTGTCGAATGTGCGGCGGACGCGGACTGACCTGGTTTGGCCCAAGTCTTGTCGGTCTCAAACGGGTTCGTCTTTCGATAGTTGCCGATACGCGTCCCATCTGGGCCGTACAGAGCCACGCTATTAGCCCCGACCTCTTCGTGCTCGTAATTCTCCATTACGATCACGCTGCGAGGCTCGTCGGCTCCCAGCGCCTCGGGGTATCCTGCTGCAACATAGCAGCGCAGTTTCTTGGACAATTCCGCGCAGAAGCGTGATGTAGGACCTGCCACCGGATCCTCAAGGTATGGTGAAATAGCCTCGGCGTTAGGAAATGCATATCCTTCGTGGGAGCGGCCTGGTCAGGGCAAGGTCTATGAATAACTGGGGAGGCAATATACCGGTGAAGATCATTTCAGGGAGGCAGACGAGGTCGACCGAGCCTGGCTCGACGCTAATTGCGGGCGTCGAATCGTTAATATTACGGTCCACATTACCTGGAGCCATTGCCGTAGACTTAGCACTTACCTTTCCAGCAGCTTCGTGGCTTTATCGACATTGTACTGTACCTCTCCTATCTGTAGGGCGTCGTCTTCAGCCAACGCCGTGATTCGCATACATTGTAAACACACCTTTGGGGCAAATTGCACCATAGCCACTCTTATTGCCATCGTGGTGAAGGCCTTCGTGTGACCGAGGGCAGGCCTCAGCGAGCACGGGCTATACCCACGTGGGAAAGGGCAAATGAAAGCTCGGACGCCGCGGAGCGCAAACAGATTGAGGATGTATTCAATTTGCTAACGCAGTCCAGCACGAAGATACAGATACCAGTACGTGCAGGTCTAGATGCCACGTCCCGCGAGACCTGCGTAATCATGTAACGGAACAGCGGTCCATTCGTAATCGAACATGGCGCCAATTCCAGAGCGCGCAAATTATTCCCAGGCTTTCAACGACTACAGTATGCTCTATAGGTAACGCCTTGACTTCCAGTACCGTACCCACATCCGTGCGTGTTCCTCAGAAAGTGGCTGCAACTCGCACATCGTTGGACTGGAACGCTGAAGCTCATCTGTCGCGAATGGCAGGCTGTCTGCACGATCCCCGCTGCCCAAGCGGGCGGCCACCAGGCCCCGGAAGAACCCTATCAGCTTGAGAGCAGGCTAAAGTAAGGAATAGTCAGAGGGCTACTGCAATCAACACCCGAGAGCACTCACCAGCCTGGCCAAGTCCTCCGCTGTCGCTGTCGATGACTGCACGTCAAGTTTCGCGACCCAGACATCCAGTGGGACGACAGGCATATCGCCTCCGACTTCTGTCCTGATACCACGGAGGACGACGTCCCACGACGTCGGACGTGGATGAACCACGTTCACCAGAAGGGGCAAGTTGTTGTCAAAAATGACCCAGCCGATGTATGCGCTGCCGATGGCGTCGAGGGGCACCCAGTTGAGGAGCTGCGCATACGTTGTGAGACAATGCGTTGATGCGGATGAACGACGTGCTTACACCAGACATCTCCGGGAAGCAGCCAAGCGAGAGACTGGACTTGACCATAATGGGCATCCACTCCGTCGTGCCCCAAGCTCCAGTTGCCTTGGACCCGCATGCTTGCCCCATTCTGACAGCCATCACACACAGCCCATTTGCAGCAGCCTTATCCAAAATCTATAAATGTAGATAAGTGGCAGTTTAGCTCAACCAAACACATGCACTCACTTGCTCTACAATATACTTCGATGCACTATAGCCATTGCTAGTGGCTACCGCCGGATCCGGAAGGGGTCGCTCAGGCACAGGACCCTGGTCTGCGTCCCAGAGGCTTGCTGCACCTACGGATGACGTGCACAGGAGCTTGATGGGGTAATCTGCGTCCCCACAGACATCTACGAGTCGCCGAACACCAGCAATCTGGTCCTCGTACGACTGCAGAGGAAGGTTGAAGTTGACCGTCCAGGCGTTGTGAATGATATGGGTAACGAAGGACAGCACCTGTGAGACGTACGTCAGCTTTCAAGTCCGCAACCCAAAGAAGAAGAAAAACGCTTACCTCCTCATATGCAGCCGGCTCCAAGCCAAACTTGGTTTGATTTATGTCGCCAACAAAAGCCGAAAGCTTCAGGTTATCAAGAATATCCACAGGCAGCGCCCGCTCGCTGAACGCTGTCTTGAGACGCTCGATAGGGGGGCTGGTTGAGGGCCGGTTCAAGGTGTAAACACGAGCAATCCGGTCGTCGGCCAGGAGGGAGGCGAGTATATGTGAGCCAATGTTCCCAGTTGAGCCTGTCAGAAGGACAGCAGCTACTCTGCGCGGAGCCGAGGATGCACTGGCCTTTGCTTTCGGAAGGTCCGACGTGTATTTGTGTACTAGAGCCTCGATGTTGGCCACATTGATGCCAGAAGTAGTGGCCTGTGGATGCTCGTCGGAGACCGGGTCTGTAAGTCTGCTCAGGAACGAAGCGAGGTCGAGGATTGTTGGATATTCGAATATAAGATTTGGGGAGATGCTCTGCGCAGCTCGCATTAGATGTGGTTCGTTGAAGGCACGCAGAACGCCGATGATGTGGTTGCGGAAGAATGTTGCACTCAAGCTATGTTTGCCAGCCTCAGCGAAGACATCGTACATAAAATCCGGTATCATACCTGTCGAAGCCTTGTTGGAACAAGTCCAGATCTGGCGAAGGCACTCGGTCATTGTTGACTGAAGCCGCCTGGGCGCTGAGCCAATGAACCAGCTCGTCTTCGCTCCAAGACTCGGGAAGAGCTATATCGTCTACGTTCGTGCTTTCGGCAACGGTCTTATATCTGTAGTACAGTGCTTAGCAGCGCAGGAGCACGACCTATCAAAGAGGATGACATACAGCTTTTCAATCTCATCTGCATACAGGGAAATTGCCGCTTTGCGTTGGATAGTACCCTTGCCCGCCCTGGGAAGCGGTCTGGATGAGTCTGTGACGATGATCATCTCCTTGAAGATCTTCGCAAACGCAGGAGCAGTAGCGTTGGCTTCCTCAACGACTGGCCTGGAGTGTCTTATGTGCGCATCCTGCGCCGTAACGATCATGATCGTACTTACCAGAGCTCATTCCGGAACTGTACCAAAGCGGCCTCATCGTTCGGGTCAAAGGCATGCCTTTCTGCAAGCTCGACGAGAAGTCCAGCTTGCTCCCTCTCCCGACCGAACATGAGACATCCCATTACCATCGGACAGGTGCCGATGTGGCCTTCTTGGGGTATCGGGACGATCTTCTCGCCTAGCGGAGTATGAACGAACTCCTGCGTTCCGCAATGAGCTACGGGGACGCACCGGTGCTCAAGATAATGACGTCGTCCTTTCGTCCGACCCTGACGACTCCGTCAGTCTAGGCTGGATATGAGGTGGCACCAGCGTACATTCTCCAAAGCCCCTCCTTGCTGGGATGCCGCTCAAATAAATCTGACGTCGCATACGCTTTCTCTCCTGGTATATTATATGCAGCTATCGGGTAATCGTCATGACCCTGAGCCACTGTGAATATATATATAATAATAATCTGGTTTTCGGCACACTCACTGTGATAACTAGCTCGTACGTCCCATCTCCCTGAGGTTCCATCCTCGTCTTCGTTCGACTAGACCATTCTAGCCAGGCCCAGTCGCCATTTGGCGTAATCGGCGGGAGCCAATCCGGAGTGATAGGCTCAGACCATATCTTCATAGGGGATGCGAACTCTGTGCCTCCGTACAGGGATCGCAGAGGGACGCCCGCTGCCTCTAGCCTGTCACCCACAGCTTGAGACAAAGGACCGCCGGCGAACGTCTGCGTGATCATGTCAGCAGAACAGTAGGCTGTCCACCATTAGAGGCAAACGCACCACAAGACGCAGTGTGCTCATGAACTGCACTTTTTCTTCGGACTTCGACCACGCCTATGGAGAAAGAAATGAGCTGTGTCACTCGAGCGCTATAAGCCACGACAGTACCTCTAAAACAGACGGCACGAGCGACATGGCAGTGCATCCGCTCAGTTTCGCCAGCTCGTACATGCTTTGGGGATGAGGAGCGGTAGGAGCGGCAGGGTACTGGGGTGCGTAGACCACCGTACCCGATCCACTCATCAACGGGTTACAAACATGCTGGAACATGCCTACTGCATGGAACGTAGGGAGCCCCATCGACCCGTTGCGTATCCTGCGTAAGCTGGAGCCGAGCGTGACATCTGCTGGCCGTGTCAGACGCGCTTCATGTTTTTCGGATGTGGGGATTACGCACTAAGCCTGGACCACTTGAGAAGTTGGTAGTGGGTGAAAAGTATTGTTTTGGGGAAACCAGTGGACCCGGAAGAGTGAAGAAACATCGCAGTACCGTGGATGTCGGCGGGGGTGTCAGACTGGAAGGGCGTGAGACCATCTTCAACGGAGTCGCTAAGTGCTGGGAAAAGGACGGAGAGAGCCGGCATTTCTCGCACATCAAGAGGCAGATCCTTTGCGTCTCTGTCTGCACGAATGTGGGACACGAGCGTGACCAGCGATGCTTGAGAGATAACGCATTTGCTGGAAGTCGCATCGAGTAGTTGACAAATGGCCTGTGCAGAGTTACGGGGGGAGATGACATATGGCTACGAGAAGAGCGTGATCGTTAGTCGTTGCAAAGGCTGGTTACATGCTTCAACACTGACCACAAGTCCTGCTCGGAGTACGCCAAGGACAACTGCGGCGTACAGGATTGTATCCGTATGCAGGAGTACGCCGACGACATCGCCATCATTTCCCCGCCTGTTTGGTCTCAGGATGTGGGCGATCCTGTGGCTTGCCCACGCGACTTCCAAATATGACAGGGACGTCAGTTTAGTTGGGTCGCTCAGCGAGGGGAAGATGTAAAAGGGCTGTTCTGCGTTGTACTTGACATTGAAATCCAAGAAATTGATGAGTGTGAGCAACGAGCCGTCAGTGGGAGGGATCGACGATTGCGGCATTCTATCTAGAGCATGCTTAGCCAAAAAGACGAAGTTATTGAGACACCGTGGATGCTCGGATGAACTTACTAGTCTTCCGATGCGGTATCGTGTCTACTGCGAGGCGTACTGCAACGAAGAGCGGTGTGGAACTCGAATGGACTGTGTTTCCGAACGGGAGTTTGCCGGCCCTACCGCGGAACCAGATGCTTAACATCAATCACACGTCTGCGGAACTAGATATGATGGCTTACATGGTGAAATGTCCTCATATCAGGCAAGTGCTAAGAACTGCAGCCAACGCGCAGGCCCGGGGGGAACAGTGCATAGCGACAGCCTAGTGGGCCTAGCATGCATCGCCAAAAGCGGAGTGCTCCATTTTATGGAGGCTGAGGTTCTGTAGTCGTCAAAGCTGATTTGTCTACCGTAGCTGCGTCCTGTAACAGGCAGCTGCCGATGTCGCTGTCCGTTGGCATCAAGCCTGTGACTCGGAGGTAGTAGCTGAATTCAGCGCTAAGGCCGCGGCACGCTCGGCGCGCTTGGAGCTGTTCCTCCGACGCACAAACGGGATTAAGCGACTCATCACTGACCGCTGCCATTCTTCACGAAATGTGAGTCCAATTCTAACAATGGCAGTTTTGCATTCGGCCCTGACAAGCCCACATGTATTTGTTTACACCATATGCATGGCATCTCGTTCAGTGGGAACTCTTGCACACGAAACCGCTGATTTTCGTGCACATGTTGCGCACGAACCGCCGCAGCATGGTGTAGCCCCCTTTAGGGGATACAATGAATCGTCGGTTGGGCGAAAACAGAAGCGAAGCAGCGATTGCCAGCACCATTAAACCCCCAACGACCAGGCATGAAACAGGGGCTGCCAACGGCCCAGCTATTCCAACTGCGGCCGAGTAGCCTACTGGTGTGGCGAAAATATACCCTCAGGTAGGAACCTTGCATGAGATGAAGCCGAATAGTACCTACTTGTCTGGGGGGTGAATCCAGCACTCCACTCTATCGTCAAGGCAATCTGCGCGGCAGCCGCTGCTGTGGTTACCACGGCCGCGCCAACTACTGTCCCCACATCTTGACGACTCTCCGTCGGTGCACTGCCAGCTAAAGCATAAGCGAAGGAGGGGCTTACTCTGCCGATGGATCGAGGACATGGAGGAGATGGATAAGGTTATCGTGCGACTCGCTGCCTATGCTCTTATATATACAAGCCCCCGCCGGACGACTCCGCTAAGTTGGCAATGCAGCTGCCACCCTTTTCATAGTACCTCGCCTTCTATTACGATGGCTGCTATTTCGAGTGTCGGTGTCCGAACCTGGTGGCAGGATGCACGGCCCCACTCCAATCCGGGATTCCACCACGACGTGATTGCGTCCGCCACGGGACTTGTCTGCTTTTACAGAGCCTCCAGGCTTTAAGCCAGTACTCTTGTACACCCGAGTGCAATATATTTCCTGTACGTGGCAGCCTATAAGACGTTAGCCCTCCTGCAGGCGGCGGCCGACTCAGACCATCCTTCGTCGCAGACCGCTATTTATTAGCTTGTCCCCCCCCTTTCTATATATCGATAGCAGTGCAGCGTTCATTGAGTCAACAGGCCCTGATATCGGGTTGAAGCCGATTCAAAAGCGGAACTTACTCGAATCAATCGGTCTCCGCGATAAGACACTTGCGAGTGTGTGAGGTCGAGCAGGATAGACCGAAAACGCCGCCGAGGACTCCCGGCGGTTAGATTTATTTGTGCAGCCGGTCGGTGCGCTTCGTGTACGTGCGCTGCGTGAATATCCGCCGGAAACCCAGAGAACACGGCAAGAAAAATAAGAGCAACTAGAACTGCGCGCGGAAACCAAACACAAAGCGACGCGAGCAAACCGCCAAAAAGGGGCAGGGGTGGGACCTGGCGTTGCATCGAGAGTCAGACAGGACGAGGCCACATCTGGGGGAAGGAGCGAACCTGGGCAGACGAGAGGCCTCTGTCCGTCGACGCATCTGACACCAGCGCGTGTTATCTGCGTCCGAGCGTGACTCATCGTGTACGGCACGGGAACGCGAGGGCGCGGCCTCAGGGCGCCGATGGCGTCGGGGGATGTAACGCGTCAAGAATGTGGCGGTTGATCCGACTCGTGTAAATGGAATTTAAACCCAACGAATCAACCGGTCTCCGCGATGAGACACTTGCAAGTATGAGAGATCGAGCAGGATAGGCGGAAAACGCCGCCGAGGACCCCCGGCGGTTAGATTTATTTGTACAGCCGGTCGGTGCGCTTCGTGTACATGCGCCGCGTGAATACCCGCCGGCAAAGGACCTAGGAAATGTAGAGGGGAGGGAAGAGCAGGAGGTGAGAAGAAGATGGGGGGTGTTCGCGCGCGGTCGGACAAGCGAAGAAAGGTGCCCGCAGGGGGACTGGATGGAACCGGGAGTGCGTGGGGGGTTCACCTGAGCTTATCACCCACAGCGTGGGGTCCAACCGGAAGAGCGCACCCCGACTGGAAAGGAAGAACTCCAGTGGGGGCAGCCCCGCCACAGCGGCTGGAATGAGGTTCGTGGGACCCTGGAAGAAGCGATCAGCCTTGTGGGTGTAGTCGTAGCCGGCGTCAGACACGTACGCTGTGGACCGACGAACGACTTTGCGCCAGTCGCCCCAGGGCGCCGATGGCGTTGGGGGACGCAACGCGTCAAGAATGGCTCGGCGGTTGATTCGACTCGTACTATATACCCTTAGCATGGCCCATAACTAGACCGATCTACCTCATCAACGCGTCATTGCAGTGGGATAGACCCCCTGGGTCGCCCTAGACAGCTTGTACGGGGTCGGATGACGTCTCAAAGCAGGCTATTAGCCGGGCAACTTAGGCCCTAGGTGGTTCCGAGTCGCCTCGACTCTGCGTTGGGAGGTACGGTGTAGTGTGCAGCGGAGTCCAGGAAGCTGTTGCCATCAATGTGGCTGGATTCGGAATACGCGCTCTTGCTCAGCCGCGCTGATGAGTCCGTAAAACCTAACCTAAGTCACACTGCATGCCCTCCGCTGCACGAGAGAAATTTGGAACTTTTTTGCTACCAAAAATACGCAAAAACAGCTTGAAAAAGTAATTAAGGAAACCTCACATTTTTTGCTGCAAAGCAGACTGCCTTTTCCCTGTGATTATTAGCCATAAAAGCTCACCCTGTTTCTAAAACTTGTTGGTAGCATATTTCAAGAAAGTATTTTTGAGCAGGAGTTTTTTTCATGAAAAGGTGAATTACTCTTTTTCATGGGGAGAGTGCAGCTTGTCTTGCAACCAGAAATGTGATATTTTCTTGCTTATTTGTTCGAATTTTTTTGGCAACAAAAAAGCCCCCAATTCCTCTTTGTTCTAGAGACTAGTGTCCAATGCAGTCTGGGCCGATTCAAAAATGCTCAGAACATACTGCTACGCTTTTGAAGCCAGTTACGGAAGTCTGACCCTCCGATGGATAGTACATCGCTTGATATTTTGTGCAAAGGGCTATCATCTTACTTTAAACAAAAATAATTGAGATTTTCCACTGAATCACTGCGAGTCGCCGCTGCCATACCGCGCGCAAAACGATGGGTCGGTAGCCTGACTATCCGGAGGCTCTCGAGTCTGGACTACATATTCTACAGATATTGCCTCGCCTTCCAATACCGCACCCACATCCGTGCGTGGTCTTCTGAAAGTGGCTGTAACTCGCGCATCGTCGGACTAGAGCATTGGAGCTCGTCTGTCGCAAACAAGAGACCGTCTACACGACCTCCGCCGTCCCAACGAGCCGCTGCCAGGCGACGGAAGAAGCCCATCAATTTTAAGGCAGGCTATGGTATGCTTTAGCTAGTGGACTGAGGTACATGACAGCATAGGACACTCACAACTCTGGCTAGGTCCTCCGTGGTCGCGGCAGATGACTGTATGTCGAGTTTCGCGATCCAGACGTCCAGCGGGATCACGGGCAGATCTCTCCCGAGTTCCGTCTTGATACCGCGAAGCACGACGTCCCACGATGCCGGACGCGGGTGCACCACATTCACAAGAAGGGGCATCTTGTCGTCGGAGACGACCCAATCGATGTAGGCACTGCCGATGGCGTCGAGAGGTACCCAGCTGACGAGCTGCATGTGGGATGTAGAACATAGGTCAACATTCCGCGCTTATGCAAACGAACGACATACTTACGCCAGTCATCTCTGGGAAGCAACCAAGTGATACGCTGGACTTGATCATGATGGGTATCCATTCCGTGGTACCCCACGCCCCAGTCGCTTTGGATCCACATGCCTGCCCCATCCGGACCACCATTGCGGATAACCCATTGGCAGCAGCCCCATCCATTATCTGCAGGGCGTATATGGGCAAAAATCTATTAAGAATGAAGATGTACACTCACTTGCTCCACGACATACTTTGACGCGGCATAGCCGTTGCTGGTGGCCGCCGCGGGATCTGAAAGGGGTCGTTCTGGTACAGGACCCAGGCTAGGGCCCCAAAGGCTTGTAGATCCTACAGATGAGGTGCACAGAAGCTTAATCGGATGGTCCGCATTCGCACAGACGTCCACGAGCCACCGCACACCAGCAATCTGGTCCTCGTATGACTGCAGCGAGAGGTTGAAGTTGACTGTCCAAGCGTTGTGGATGATGTGGGTGATGGAGGCCAGCATCTGCGGAACATATATCAGCATTGATTCTACAGGCAGATGCGATTCTATCGTGCCTCGTTGTACACAATAGAATCCAAGTTGAACTTGCTCTGGGTGATATCGCCAACGAAGGCCGAAAGCTTTGGAGAATCGAGGATATCCACGGGCAACGCTCGCTCGCTGAACGCTGTCTTGAGACGCTCAATAGGAGGGCTAGTTGAGGATCGATTCAAGGTGTAGACACAAGCAATCCGGTCGTCAGCCAAAAGGGAGACGAGTATGTGCGAGCCGATGTTCCCAGTTGAGCCTGTCAACAGGACAACTGGTGCTCCTTGCGGACCCACAGATGCGTTGGCCTTTGCCCTCGGAAGGTCCGACGTGTATCTGCGCACAAGGGCCTCGATTTCTGCCACAGCCACACCGGGACTAGCGGCCTGCGAACGCTCGTCCGAGGCCGTATCCACAAGTCTACTCAGGAATGAAGCGAGGCCGCGGATTGTCGGATATTCGAAGATGAGATTTGGGGAGATGCTCTGTGCAGCTTGCGTCAGATGTGGCTCTCCGAAGGCGCGCAGAGTGCTGATGATACGGTTCCGGAAAAACGTTGCACTCAAACTGAGTTTGCCGTCGTCAGTGATAGCGTCGTGCATACACTGGCGGCTCAGCTCTCATACCTGTCAAAGCCTTGCTGGAACAAGTCGATCTCCAGCGAAGGCTCCCGGCCATTGTTCACTGAGGCTGCCTGCATGCTGAGCCAATGGACTAGAGAGCCGTCGTTCCAAGACTCGGGCAGAGCCATATCGCCAACGGTCGTGCTCTCGGCAACGGCCTCGTATCTGCGGCACGACGTTGAGTAGTAACCCGGTGACATAACTCATAAGAGATGCATACAGCTTGTTAATCTCGTCTGTATACAGAGATATCGCCGCCTTGCGTTGGATAGTACCTTTTCCAGCCCTAGGTAGCGGTTTGGATGGGTCTGTGACGATGATCATATCTTTGAAGATCTTCGCAAACGCAGGGGCAACGGCGTTGGCTTCCTCAACAACAGGCCTGGAATACCTTATGGGCAGAGCTGGCGACGCGGCGACAACGTTCATGCTTACCAGAGCTTATTCCGAAATTGTATTAATGCGACTTCATCGCTCGGGTCGAAGGTATGCTCCTTTGCAAGCTCGACGAGAAGTCCAGCTTGCTCCCTCGCCCGACCAAACATGAGGCATCCCATCACCATTGGGCAAGTGCGGATGTGATTTTCCTGAGGAAGCGGCACGATCTTCTCGCCTGGCGAGGGGTAAGCTTCCGCGTTCTACAGCGAACTAGAGAGGTGTACCTGTACTCAAAGTGATGACGTCGTCCTTTCGCCCAACGCTGATGGACCAATAAGCCTAGGTCGAGCGGGAAGTGGCATCAGCGTACATTCTCCAAAGCCCCTCCTTGCTGGGGTGAGGCTCAAACAGATCAGATGTCGCGTATGCTTTTTCTCCTTGTACGTTGTAGACTGCCATAGGGAAGTGATTATGGTCCTGAACCGCTATTAGTATCTACAGCACGATTAGTCAATGCTTAGTGCACTTACTATAACGACTAGCTCGCATGTCCCGTCCCCCTGAGGCTCCATCCTCGTCTTTGCTTCGCTTGTCCATTCAAACCAGGCCCAATCCTCGTTTGGCGTAATCGGTGGTAGCCGGTCCGGGGTGATAGGCTCAGGCCATATCTTGATAGGTCCCGCGATCTCTGTAGCTCCGTAAGTTGGCCTCAGAGGGACGCCTGCTGCCACTAGCCTGTCACCCACGGTCTGGGACAGAGGACCGCCTCCGAATGACTACATGGTGTTAGCCAAACGGGTTTCTCGCCACTGGAAGCAACGCACCACGAGACTCAGTGTACTCAGGAATTGCACAATTTCCTCGGATCGCGACAAGGCCTGGGAAGCAACAAACCATGAGCTGAACTGCTCGAGGGCTCCAAAACATGAAAGCACCTCTAAAACGGAGGGCACGAGCGATATGGCAGAACACTTGCTCAACTTCGCAAGCTCGTACATGCTCTGCGGATGAGCGACGGTAGGAGCGGCAGGGTACTGAGGTGTGTAGACGACTGTGCCCTCTCCACTTGTCAGTGGATAAAAAAGATGCTGCATCATACCCAGCGCATGGAACGAAGGGAGCGCCATTGACGCGTAGCGTAACCTGCGCAACCGGGCACCAGCGAAGAGATCTGCTGCTGTGTTAGGCGTGTAGTGCGCTCTTCAAAGACGTGTAGTACGCACTGAGATTAGCCCATCCGAGGACGAAGCCATGCGAAAGAAATATAGACTTGGGGAAACCAGTGGACCCAGAAGAGTGGAGATAACACAATGCGAGACTATGTATATCAGCAGGGGTGCCGGAACTTGGATACGGCTGGAAGGAAGCATTGTCATGTTCGATGGGGTCGCCTAGTGTTGGGTAAAGAGTAGAGAGAGCCGGCATTTCGTGCACATCGAGAGGCCGATCCTTTGCGTCTCTGTCTACACGAATGTGGGACACAAGCGTAGACATCGATGCTTGAGAGATAATGCGCCTGCAGGAAGTCGCGTCGAGCAGATGACAAACGGCCTGCGCAGAGTTGCGAGGAGAGATGGCATATGGCTGCGGAAAGAGTGGTCGGTAGCCGCTGCACAAACTAGTTATACTGTCCAACGCTTACCACGAGCCCCGCTCGGAGTATGCCAAGGACGACTGTGGCGTAAAGTATCGTGTCTGTATGCAAGAGCACGGCAATGACATCGCCGTTGTTTCCTTGCTTGTTTGGCCTCAGGATATGAGCAGCTCTATGACTTGCCTGTGCGACCTCCGAGAATGATAAAGATGTTAGCTTTGTCGGGTTGCTCCGCGAAGGAAAGATGAAGTAGGGTCGTTCCGCATTATATTTGGCATTGAAATCCAAGAAGTCGATAAGTGTCGGCAACGTGCCGTCTGTTGGAGGGATAATCGCCTGTGACATCCTGACGAGGACACTAGGACCCAATGCCGTGTCTCAAGGAGGTTATAAAGATTGGCGAGCGCGTGAATATTGCGATAGTGTGAGACTTCCTGCGGGCCATTTGAATGCAATTTTAGAGTTTTCAGATGTTGTCCCGCACGAGTTCGAAACGGGTAGGGCCGGTCCTAGGAGCTCAAATCGACATATATCATCCATAGAAGGCAACCGAGGTGTGCCCCAGCCTCGTGCGTATCCGTGTGTCGTGTCTGCTTGAAAGCGTTTGGGAGTCAAAGTCCAGTTGGGAAGGGAGCTGATGGCCGCTTGTCCCATCATTGATCCGTTTATCGTATATGGAACATTTATGATGACCCACTATTTGCAGCCAGGCTCATTGCGACACGCTGGATGATCTCACACTCGTGTGGCCAGAGCCCACGGTTCTACCGCTCCTGTCTATTTATAATGGGCCGCTGCACGGCAGCTTGGGCACGTAGCTTCGAAATAACGGACCGGGGAGGCACGAGGTCGTTCCCATGGATCAGGATGGAGAGAGCGTCCCATAAATGTAAGCAAATAGACCGAGGGGACGGATGAGCCTGCAAATAGAAAGCGCGACAGACTCACTAAAACGAGGCCGCAGTGCACAGCGCGTCGAAAGTTGTACTCGGCCGGCATGTCGCAGGCGCAATAGTATCGGACATCACCGAACGCCACCAAGATGGGCGTTTACAGGTGATTCGGCTAGCGCCGTGTTGACCGATTTCCTTGGGAGGTCTAATTTTCGTTCGCCATGGGCGCACACGCACGCATATACAGATTTCATCGCGCGATACACGCGCATACGGTACTGAATTTTTTTGGCACAATTACTGTTGTAGTATCCGAGGCGCGAGGCGCGCTAATTCGCCGGATGCACGTCAACCGCGCCGCACAGAGACACCGACATGACGGGCTCACCGCGTCATGCCATATTTGGATATGGCTTTCCCGTTTTAGATGTGACGCGCGCAGAGCGCTCTCGGCTCTGGCGCCGGTTCACTCCCCGCCGTGTTTCCCTTAGTCTCAGCTTCCTAACGCACATTGTATTTGAATGACTAGTATAGCTATAAAAGAACATGATGTATTATCCTTAGAATTTACCGTTGATTACTCATGAATCCCCCGCCTGCGCGATCCAATTCACAACAATTACTGTATACCCAAAATAGAGTTATTTCTTGGCATAAATATGGGCGCCGAGTGATCTCACCAGTGTTGGAAGGGTCAGACTGATCCCGGGTCAAAGGGGGTCAGAAATGACTGACCGGTCAGGTCAATTGACGGTCAGTTGATGGGTCAGTGGGGTCAGGCGCCCGAAGTAGCCGATGAGCGCCCATTGACAACCAGGCTGCTCGAGGCTGCTCGATGCCGTCGGGGACGGCGAGGAGAGCAGGTAGTAGTAGTAGCAACGATCTCAATACTATGTAAGTACCCCCGACAATGAAATATATCTCGATTTTTTTTCTTCACATTACTGCTCTCTCTCGTGTCTGCGCAAGGACCCTCAATAGTGACACCATGCTACGAAACAAGTGCCGCTTTGGCTCTTCGTCCGAAAGCAGTGCCGAAGGTTCCCAGGCCTCAGGTCTCAGTCCCTACAGGTCTCTCTTTGCTGCCACTAGACAACGGCGCCGACACGTCGGAGTTTCAAGAGCTCGGGCAGGACCTCATGGCTTTGGTCGCCAAGTTTGAACGACTGGTCGATGATAAAGTTGGCTCGGCAGCCACTACCGGCCCAGCTTCAACCGTAGGCACCTCTGTTCAAGCCCAGGCCTCAGCATCGGATGTGGCAGCTACAGCTCAGAACGTCGCTTCGCGTTCAACGAGCACTCGCCGTTCTCGCTGCAGAGACGCTAGCCGTTCACTTACCCGGATGCATCGCAGACTGGATGAGCCTTGGAACTCTACTGATGCGGTGGGGTGAGAAACTTAGAACAGGAGTTAAATTTGTATGATCTAGTACAAGCTCGCGAGAAATAATATGTTTTCGCCGCCATCTTCGAGGGCTGTAACGTCGACTCCATTAATGACTTCACATAAACGGCATGTCAAATCAAGCCTGACCTCGGCAATAGCCGACTGACCCTTCTGACCCCTTTGACTGACCTTTGGGGTCAGACCCGGGGTCAGTTCCAACACTGGATCTCACAAGTCCCAAAATTCAGTAGATCCCGAATTTTAAAAGGTCTCGGTTAAGCGCCCGGCTGTAAGCGTTCGAGACAATTCGACTTTCCGCCATGACTACAGAAAGCTTGTTACTGTCGACATAAACGCGGCTCAGACTAATCAGTCGTCTTGTACACTCTCGTAGACGTCGTTGGGAAGCTGAGAGCAGGGACGATGACGCAGTGCGCCCAACGGACATCGGACCACACGGACCGGACCTGGAGGCTCCTTGAGCGCGTAGTAGACGCTCTCGCACGTTCTCTGATTCGAACCATCATGAGCGCGTCAGTTCCTCCTGGCGTCGTCTGCGAAGGCAGCCACACCGAAAAACATAGTGGTGGCGCAGTTGACGGGTGGTTGGCTTTCGAGAAAGTCAAGCTCTACACGAATGCGTTCATTGTAGAAGAAGGCAGGGTAGTCCCCTACGTTGGTTCGACAGCCGGACAGGACTCATTCTGGTTATGCTATAGATCCTCCTTGGCTATAAGAAACGTGGTTTCGGAAAGGATCTGTAAGCACTCGTTTGTCTCCTGAAAGCTGACAACTAACGGCATCTATCCAGATATAATGGCTTCGGTGGAAAAGTCGAGCCGCAAGAGACTCCGCTAGAAGCTGCGGTACGAGAAATGCAGGTAACAACACTACCATGCAAATTATAGATGCACTGCTCATGCTGCTTCTAGGAAGAAGCGGGAATCACTGCCCCGCTGAAGAAGTGCGGGACACTGTTCTTCGTCTGCGAAGACATAGACCATGCCTTTCACATCGACATTTTTGTTGCCGACGAATACACCGGTGCCATTATAGAGTACGTAGTTTTATTCTTGGTGCTCACTTCTAATCTTTTGACTGACCCCTCCACTCTACAGGACGGACGAGATGCGTCCTGGATGGTTCTCCACATCGCAGGGCGCACCCAGCTCAGAACTCCCGCCGATTCCGTACAGCCGGATGTGGGCAGACGACGTGTTCTGGATGCCTATGCTCCTCGCGGGAAAACCTTTCATTGGGCGTGCTGACTTTGTGCAGGACGGAACAATGCAGAAGTGGTGGTTCGCGGAGGTATAACAGTACTAGAGATCTAGTGTGAACCGCTGTATTTTAGATTACACCCTTGAATAGCCTTACATGCTCCTTGGCGCGCACATCTGTATAGATTTCATTGCGCGAGACACTGTTATTCATTAGTGGATGTCCTTGTGCGCGTTTAAAGATGAGCTTCGAGCGGCCAGTACCAGCGCACGCCTGTTAGTATCGGAAAGAACGGACTAGAAGATATATATCTTATGCGGCAGGGTGTACAGGCTACATCTGCTTAAATTTTCCTCCGCTTGCTGCTCCGACCTTCCTCTTTGTCGGCCTCTCGCTTGCTCTTCATACCAGCGGCACGCATGTACTCTTTCCGCTTCTCCTTCTCCTTCTCGCTCTTCTGCTCCTCCTCTTTCGCGACTTTCTTCCGATGCACCTCCTTGCGCTCGTTCTGCTTTTCCTTTCGCCGCGCGGCCTGGTCCTTCCGGAGCGCACGGATCTGCTGTAGGAGCGCAATCGCCTTCTTCTCCTCGGGCTCCATCACGACCGCGCGCTTCTGCATGTACGTCGGCTTCCCCTGCGGCTTCATCAACTTCGGCTTCGATGCGTACGGCAGCGCTTTTTGCAGCTTCCTCGGGACCTTGAGCACATTGAAGCGCCGTGGCGCACGCTCGACCTTCTTGTACGTCGAGTTGACGTTCAACGGCGTCTTCAGGCCTTCTTCTCGGCGAACCTGCCCCGTCAGACGCATGCCGCTCCAACGGCCCTTGTCCGATAAAAGAAGTGAGGTCACGGGGTTGTAGAATTTGCGAGGCTGAATCGAGTACCAGGCTCTCAAGAAGACGATGTCTGAAGGAGGAATCAGCATGCTAGAGAGACCGCGTGAAACCCCCAAAACGTACCGCTCATGAGGATCTTGTCCTCGAATGTTGCACGGAAAGCACCATCAGGCTTCGGCAGAGCCTTCTTGACCTGCCCACGAATACCGGAGACGGTCCTGATGTTAGCGCCCTCAAACTTGGCGACCTCCAGTGCACTGCTGAACATGTCCTTGATGAAAGCCGTGTTCTTGAAAATCTTGTACGGCACACCCGTAAGCTTAAGCTTCTTCACGATCTTCGTCGACCGGTCGATGTCAAGCACGACGCCGGTCGCTGAGACGCGGAAACCGGCGGCGTCGCCCGCGAGCGAGTTGAACGCACAGAAGCCTGTGTTTGGGAGTGCGACAGGGCCATAGAAGGTCGCGTAGCAGTGCGTGTGCTCGGGCGTATACTTGAGCATGCGCATCCGGATCGAGTGGTCGTCGAGCGAGTAGATCGGGATGCTCTGGAACCGCCGCCAGCCGAGCGAGAAGATGAGCGGATCGTTCGTCTTGAGTGTCTTCGCGTACCATCGGTGCCGTTTGATGCGCACTTGCACATACCCGAGCCGCTCCTCGGCTGGCAGCAGCCCGCCGACAACGATCGGGTAAGCCGGGTCAAAATTCTCGATCATCTCCGCAGGCACGTCCGTGAGCTCGACACGGACGTATGAGCCTGGCCGGTAGCCCTCAACAAGCGCACGCGCTTCAGGATCTATGTTTTCGAACTCGGCGCGATTGAGCTGCAGCTGGCGGGCGATCTCGTCCTTCTTCTCCTCGTAGAAATCCATTTTCGAGTCCTCCGGGTCATCGTACTGTTCGTCAAACTTTTTCTTGAGCAGCTCTTTCTTCGCCGCGAGAGTGACAGAGTGGGCGGTCTCGGGGTCTCCGGAAGCGGTTGCGCCTTCCTGGCCGTCGGTTTGGGCTTCCAGGTCGACAAAGTCGGCACTACTCTCGAGGTCCTCGTAGCCATCGTCTCCACCTGCGTCACCTGTCCCAGAGCCACCAGTGATGAAGAGATTCCTGATAGAATCCAATAGCTCCTCGTCCTCCCACGCCTTGAGAGCTTCTGGGTCGACCTTTTCCTTGGTCATGTCGAGCTCCTCCTCCGTGTCGCCAACCGTGCCTTTCGACTTGATCGTGAAGAAGTCGTCCTCAGCTTCGTCCTTGTTTTGTCCCTGGGAAGTAAGCGAGTCGCCGCGGACAATTTGCTCAGGAGTGAGCGAGGACGAATAGATGAGTTTCATCCAATTTCTCTGCCGCTTACGGCTGTGCTCCTCGAATGCGGCTTGAGCCCTCCCGCCGAGGTTGGTCTTCCACCGCGGGACGTCCTCCTTGTCCTCATCCATCTCGTCCTCGTCATCCGACTGCACGTGCACGTCCTCCTCATCGTCAAAGCGCACACGAGCACCGCCTCCAGGCCTGGGTACGTCGTCTACGTCTTCGTCCTCGTCGAAGTCGCCCATATCGGAGTCACTGTCCGCGAAGTCGATGGCCTTTCCTCGTCGGTCATGCCCCGATGGCAGTCCCCCCGTCCCGCGACGAACATTACGTGGTGCCGATCGACCTCGACCACCTTCTTTTTCTTCCTCTTCCTCTTCCTCGTCCTCGTCCCCCTCAATCTCTGCATCTGAACCCCATTCCTCTTCACCCTCAGATCCCTCGAACTCATCCTCGTCGTCTTCATCCTCTGGCATGTCGTCCGCCTCGTCCTCGTCTTCCTCGTCTTCCGACCCACTATGCAACCGACTGGGCCCAGGATCGACAGCGAGTGGCTTTGAGGATGATCCAAAGAGCTTGATCTGACTGCGGGCAACAGCGTCGTCAAGAGTCGTGTTGATGTCCTGCAAGTCCATGACCATGCGCTCTCCTTCTCCTAGGGGGACTGGATGTATGCGCTTAGACTTCGTGCATGAAAACTCAGAATGCGAACGCATACCTTCGTTGCTGCCTCTTGTGAAACTGCCGGGAACGTTGATGTACACCGCGTCCTTGTCGTACATCACCCCACCGATGTCGCTCATGGGCGCATGCACGAGCAGCTTCTGTTTCTCGCTAAGCTTCCGTCGCTTCTCACTGTCTGCGTCCGGCAGTGGGCACGGGTCTCCCAGCTTTGTAATGCTCTTCACCTGGAGGTCGCCGACGCCGGGAATGTGCACCTTCGTGCCCGGACGCATGTTCGTGCCGCGGAGGTAGCCATACACGGTGACGGTGCGGTCGCACTTGCCCTTCGACGCACGGACCTCTTCACGCGGCGTCAGGTCCTCGATTCGATCCGCGAGCATGTACGAGTGTGAGTTGCGGAAGATAAGGGGGCGGAACTTCATGACACTGATGAAACGCGAGAGATTCAGGATCTCGGTGTCGGGGTAGCGGCCGTTGAGCACGCCGGAGAGATAAAAGAGCTTCGCGCCTTGGTATATCTCGGTCCAGAATCGCTTCTTGAGAGCCTTCTTGGTATCTTTTAGCGTGGAAGCCTTTTTTATAAGGTCAAGGTGAGTGAGGACGCCAATGACTTTAGGGAAGCCGTGCGTTTGGAGGATGTTGAGGAATTCGAAAGTTTCCTAGAGGGACGTCAGAACACAGGGCTAGAGCTCTTAGCATACCACGCACCATCTCAAACCCGTACGAACCGTCAATCATCAATAGGACCAAGTCCGCAACCTTCGCGATGTCAATCATGGAGTTGAGGTCGCTATTGCACTCAATGAACGTGATCCTCTTCTTCTTGCCACTAATGACCGTGATAGGCCCTTGGACATGATTAAGCGTTTGCTTCGTATAACGTCGGACCAAACTCTTCACTAGAGTTGTCTTCCCGACTCCGGGAGGGCCAACGATAGCTACGACAACTGGGGGCGGCTCATCGTCAGGGATGCGGTTTACGAGTGGCACGTGAAGTCGCGTCTGGTCGCGCTCAATGTTCCGACGACCCTGTCGTTCTGCTCTGCGACCTGACCTGGGGGCAAATGCCTGCAATAACCAGTTCATTCTACGGTACCCAGCACAAGCTGCGGTTTGCGCACTTTTTCGTTATAGCCGTGTTGCTTTTCTTTGCCCTTTCCCTTCTTCTTCTCCGCCTTTGCGCCAGACAGTGCTGGCCTGTGCGCCTTGTGCTGTCTGTCGTCCATCGTCCTGCGAGGCGTGAGCAGATGAGCAGTCTTGCCCATCTGCGCGCTTCCCGACATTTTTTGATCCCCCATCAGAACTTCGACCTTCTGGCGCTCGGGCTTGTCTCATGATTGGGAAAGCAATATATTCTCAGTATCTACAACTTCGCTCTCTCCCTCGTCCTAATAATGTTCCCCTTGTGGAGCTCCTCAATTTCCCTGTCACTGAGGGCGAGCACTTCGCGTAGTACGTCCTCCGTGTGCGACCCAGGAGCCAGATACCCATTACTTCGGATATGCTCTGACTGCCACGATCCGTCTTCGTGAGACTTTGGAGGGCCACTTGATGCTATAGTGCGCGCAGGGGTCCGCGATAGCAGCGGATGCGGTGCCGGCGCACTCTCAACCGGAGACTGCTCATTGGAGACAAGTACCGCCGCCTCCGCAGGGCTGAGCACCGGAACAGCACATGCATCTGACTCTGCACACATGTGAGCAGCCCTACGCACCGCTAATCACAGCGAACTAGAAACTCACCGTGGAATACTTTTGCCCAGTAATCTCGGTCGTACAGCCTGAATCCATCTTCAAACAGCTTGCGGAGTTTCGGCCACTCGTTGACGCGATCATACTGGCGCTGCAAAGTTGGCGTCCATTTGAGAAAGCTCTGCTCGACGAAACCTGCTGGAACCGCTTTCAAGAACTTTTGCAGAAACGTTTCGTAGAACCGAGGCTCGAGACAGCCGACACTCATCCACCGGCCATCTTTGCAAGTATAGACGTTGTAGAAGGGCGCACCGCCGTCGAGGGTGTGTTGCATGCGACTTGTCGGACGTTTTGAGGACGGAGGTTCGGAACGAGGGAAAAATGGGACGCTGGAAAGGTTTGGTGGGCCGTTTGACGGAGGCCGCATCGCAGAAGCAAGTGGAAAGGTGGAAAGGTAGCGCGTACCGGAAACCTATCATCAGGACTGGTAAAAACAAAGGATGTTCAAGACAGGGAGTGATGCATACCATGTCGGTACTGACAACTTGCCCGAGCCCACTTCGTGAACGTTCGATGAGTGCAAGTAGAATACCGAGAGCGCAGGTCATTCCACCACCGCCGAAGTCGGCCAGGAGGTTGAGTGGAAAGGAAGGTTTGTCAGGTGTTCCTGGGAACATCTGCACAACAAGTGAGATCAGGTCATAGATAAGCCATAGCACCTACCGAAAGCACACCGCTCAGGGCGAGATAGTTGATATCATGCCCTGCTTAAAGGTAAATACAGAATACATAACATGAAGCCAAGTGGACGCACCAGCCATGTCCTTATAGGGACCTGCTCTGTAGTTAGACACAGGACTCATGAAAAGCAAAACTCAACAAACCCGCGAGCGAAAAGCTGATGTTGGGTACGATGAGCTTCCGGAAGATGCACCGCTCAGAGCGTCGCTCACCCAGCCAGACGCGCGAAAACGAGCCTTCGATTGAGACCGTCGCCGTCATCTTGTCCACCAAGGAACAGCTCTGGACCCAGGCCCATGCGCTCCATAACGCCAGGTCTGAATGGGTCAATCAGAACATCCGCGCTCGCAACGAGTCGCCGGGCAATCGCAAGGCCCGCGGGGCTCTTGACATCGAGTGCGATAGACCGCTTGTTCCTCGTGAGTGTGTCGGTCGAGGAAGAGCCCAAGCGGTCTAAGCGTATCACATCTGCGCCCCAATCGGCGAGAATAAGGCCTGCAAAGGGACCTGGTGCGAGGCCTGCAAACTGCCACGTCCACCGTGAACATTACTTGCGTTAGGAAATACACAGCAAGGCGCAATATGGCACACCTCAATGACCCTTATGCCGGCCAGAGCCATCAAGCCTTTCTGAGGATCGTTATTCCGAGGGCCGTTGGCCATAACTTGACTACACTAGTACGCGTAAGATCAAAGGCGGGACCGGTCGGCCGAGACCATAGCATAGGGCATGATGTCACGCGTCAGATCTCAATGCCAGGTAGACTCGTTTCCAGTCTACTCAGCAGCTATACTCCTGTGTGAAGCACGGAATATATATTCCAAGGCGGCTGGTTCGAGCCTAAGCGAAAGGCGAAAAAAAAGAAACATCTGGCCTCATCACATCTTACAGTAATGTAGTGCAGCACCAGGCGTGACGAGGCACAGCACGCTGGCGAATGTTGGGCTGAGGCTTAATCTCAAGGTTTGGCATTTGTACTATTCGTGCGAAATCATCAACTAATGCATATGGCGCTGGAATTCTCCCAGCCATCTATCCGCTCTGACTCCTCCAGTAGGCTCGATACCAGCCACCTTGCACGGCATACTCGTTGGCCATTCCGGCGTACCGACCACTATCCCATCCTCGGTACATGCTCCTATCAACCACCGAGTAGAGTAGTGAAGAGTCTGCTCCTCCAGCTCGTCTGAGACCACTATTGTCGTTCTGCCACTCAAATTCGCACTGTCCAACTCCAACTCGACATTCATGTTCTTCCTCCGCCGTCCGCCTTCCGCTCCAGATGAAATCTATTCATCTTGTCTATCGACGCTACACGAGGGCCACGCCCTCTGGTACCCGGAGCCCCACGCCTCAGGCGAGCCGCAAATCGGAGACGTCGGCTTCATACGCAAGGGCGCATTCATCAGACTCTTCAACCTCGACACATCTGCACCCGAGAAAAAGGTGGTAGAGTGGGACTTACCGTTCGAGATCACAGAGCCCTTGCCTCGGGGTGTGCTCAAGATCGATCCCAGGCGTCGTCCACTCGTTCCCGCCCATTATCGCAGTCACGGAGTGGAGAGCAGGCAGGCGCATGCTTCGGCAGACATGTGAGTGCGCTTGTTCGCCCGATGAATCCATTTTGTTGATGGTCTGCAGAACGACTGGCGCGAACGTATCGGCGACTCTGAGCGCGGAGTACACGTGTAAGGCGGCCCAAGGCGCCGTGCTTGCGCTGAAGAGCGAGGCGGACGCACAAACGATCTACGACAACGTATTCCTGAAGGAGTACATTGTCCGACACCACGATAAATGGTACGCATATGCCAGAGGTGTCCTCGGCCACGATATCAAGCGAGGGGAGGTCGTCATGATCATCGGCTGGGTCAAAACCGAAGCTGACTGGGCGACGGTCGCCTTCAGCAACACGAGCACGAGTTCCAGCGTCTCTGTCAAAGGCCATGCTGGTGGTATTGCGGGGCTGGACGTGAGCACGTCGCACGCGAGTTCTGTGACTGGCCCGACGATGCAACGACAGGGTGAGAACTACCTGGCCAATGCTCCCGGACCTGTTCCTGCAGCGCCGAAGAGAGACCAGTCAGTCCTCGTGAAGCGGTACAAGGTGCGGAAGTGGTTTGGGGTGGTGAAGAAAGTCGTTGCGGGTGGGGGCTACCACCGGCTTCAGGATGGAGGAGATGGGAGAGGTGGCTCAGCAGAGGAAGGGATCTTGGCGCAAGAGATGGGAGATATCGACGAGAAGAATATTCTGGACCTGTGGAATGAGGCACGTATTCCACTACCATGGGTCACGAGGCACACTGAACGATGAGACACCAGGGCGAAGTTCCTGATCCATTAGACGTCCTTCTCGACTATATACTTGAGGTATGTCCGCTCAATAGCTTATCTTATCGTGCGGCAATATTAATCGAGAGACATGTGACAACAGACCACCGGCGTCGAGACTGCTATTGCGAGTGATGACGATGTGTGGAGTATCGTCGTACGTGTCGTGATAGACATTTAACAAGGGCGAAAATGCTTAGTCTTGGACAGGGCGGCAAGTCGGTGGTTGATTTCGCAAGTTATCTTCGTCGAATGCAGCTTCCAGTACATGTCAACGGCACAGGTGAGTCTCTGATCTGCTAGCAGGCAGGGACGGTCTCTGACGTCTCTGGCTGGCACGACTCTCCACACAGTCGGATCACTATGTATGGAAGACGTGATCTCTCACGAGCGGGCGTCCGCTTTTGCTCGTCAGGCTATCACCACGTCCGACTTGGCAGAGTGGCCGGATGCCGCCTTAGACGGTGCCGATCATCTGGAGGATGGGCGCGTCTTCACCAGTTCCTCGAATGCTGAGACTCGGCCTCTCAAATTGACGCGAGCCGCCTTCAGCGATCCACAAAATCCGTCCCAAGACTGCTCCGGCTTTGCTTTGTCAGCAGATGGTCAGCTTCTCGCGGCATCGTTTAAGAGTACCGACGTTCTCGTATGGCGACTATCCGACGGTCTACCCGTCCAACGTCTACACCATCAGGGCCATACAGACGAAGTTTGGGCCCTCTCCTTTTCCCCCATCGACTACACTCTTGTCTCAGGGTCTGACGACGGGACCGCAGTCGTATGGGATACTCGACGTGGCCGCGTTCTTCTACGTCTGAAAGGACACAGTGCGCCAGTAAAGATGATTGCATATGCTCCTCACGGTGCGCTCATTGCCACTGGCTCTCAAGATGAAGATGAAAGATCTGGCGACATGTCCGTGAAGATTTGGGACGCGTCGAGTGGAGCATGCCTGCATTCCTTCAGCGTTGATGACGGCGTGTACAAGCTCACCTTCTCCGCAGACAGCACGTGCCTCTGTGTCGAACTGGGCAAGTTCTGTGTCATCTATGACATTCACACCTACACACGCACTGCTAAATTACAGCACGTTGCCGAGAAGTGGCTCTACTCGTTGATGTCTCGCCAAGGCGATCGCATAGTCACCGGCCTGGATTCAGACAATCCAGGACAAGTGAAAATATGGAGCGCGGAGACAGGCGAGGAGCTTCTCACGATCGATCATCCGATGAAGCTCTCGCGTCCCGTGACATTCTCCCCTGACGGGGCCGAAGTGATGGCGGCTTGTCGCGCGGACACGGCAGCCGTCACCTACGACTCGCGGACGGGCCAGCTCCGTCATATCTTCAAGTTGGCAAAGCCGGCACATCAAGCGACGTACTCTCCAGATGGAGCCTATGTCGCTTTTGGTGCCGAGTACGGAGATCTCGAGCTGTACGATGCGAAGTCTGGGACATTTATCGCAAAGTTTGATGGGCGTGAAGGGAGTGGGACACTCTTTAGGATACGCTTCGTACCTAACAGTCAAGCTCTTCTAGCATGGTCCAGTCTTGGACCTTTAGTTCTGTATAACATTCAGGATGTATTGCGGATGCGATAGCGTAATATTAGTGTGGCAATGTCTGCCCTGCTCAGTGTACTACAGCAGTGCAGTCAGGCAGGGAGCATGTGCCACGGCACATCCACTCTACAACGAAGACAGGCCCACAGCAAAGCGAGCCACCTGCGAACAGTATATATATATACTACAAATATTTCAGTTCATGTCGGGCACGAACACCCCGAGAAGGATGCTAGCGACCATTGGTCACCTAGGACAATACATTGTATAAGATATATACACCATTTTGGTGAGGCACAGACATTGGCATTTCGCCCTTAACCAAGCTTAAACAACAAGAACGACGGGCATGTTTGAGCTCCGCAACCCAACGCTTCCGAGGACCTTCTCAGTCTCCGCAGGCACCCAAGTCACCTTTCCCTCCGCGATCCCACGCCGGATGCTATAGATTTCCACGTTCCTCCTGCGGTCTTTGCCGGCAGGATCCTCGACATCCTCGCGTTGCTCGATGCGAGGCTGGAGGAGTGACGAGCTACGCAGCGTGAAGCTCCCTTCGTAGGTGCTGTGCAGGCTCACATAAGCTGGCGAGTTAGACGTTGCGCCCTTGAAGTGGAGGAGTGAGTCGACAGGGGCAGAGGTGAAGTTGACGTTAAGAGGGCTGTTGATAGTTTTGGTGTTGACACGGAAAGACCCGCCGTTCTCGCTTTTTGTGGTCGAGATCAAGGAAAAGTTGGAATACAGCGGGCTGGAGATAAGTCGCATTAGTGACGATATGGTACTGTACTTTGCAAGTACTTGCCTGTTGCTGGTGATAAGAGTCACGTCAGTCACCTTGTCCTCGCCACCATTGATCATAGTGATGTTGGCGGCAATAGGGGAGTTTGAAGTGCGGATCACAAGTGTATCCCTCACGGTAAAGTTGCCTACGATGGCGTTATTCGAAGACTTCAGCTCTGCACGGTCAGCAAGGAGAGACTAGAGATGGTGGTCAGAGATGAATGTATGTCGGCTACTGGTCACTCACTTGAGAATGGATCCCGACGTTCGATGTAGAGAGCATCAAGGAATTGAAGCGCACTGAATCCGCCAAATCAGCGATGGCGTGACGGAACAGGGGCATGTCGGTCTTGAATCCTTGGATGTGCAGCGGCGAAGAGCCTTTGTTGGCCGGAAGGTGGACGTCCATCAAGAAAAAGGTGCGATGACGGTGATCATGGCGATGTGTCCACTGCGGAGTCTAAGTACGTGCATTAGCGTCACGAAACGTCAGTCTATATATTTATCACTCACAAAGATCCCGACACCGTTATGATCGTGCTCCTGCTGAAGGCGACAGACCTTTGCTTTTTCCAGCAGATGCTCAGTGTCGTACAGGAAAGTAACAGTGACGTTCGCGTGGCTATCATCGTCTCCATCGTCAAGAACGCGAACGAGGCCGTGAGAGAGGCTTCCTCGGCTAATGAAATACAGCAGCTCCGAGGACACTGGGAGCTTGAGCGAGGTCTGGGCTGCATAGGGATACCAAGGATGATAGACCTCGACGTCCTGCAAGTCCTGAGGATGGTGATCCAGAACCGTCCATTCGGCAACCTCATTACAGTCGCCGGGGAGATCTGGGTTGCCAAGAATTTCCGCAGGCCCGCGCCAGTCATCGAACTACTGGAGTTAAGAGCGCTGCCGAGCTTGGAGAGTAAGATCGCTACTTACTGCGTGCGAGATGCGAGCGATGCCACGCAAAAAGGTCGGGAGGAGCATGACGGAGACGGTGAACAACATCAGCATGTGCACCGCGCGGACGATGAGTCGCCTGGTCCTCGACCTCGGTCGGCGCGGTTGGAAACTGCCTGGGGCAGGAATTTGGCTTTCATGGGGGTAGAGAACACCGTAGCCACCATATCCCTGAAAGACTGCGACTTGTTCAGGTGGCAGGGTGTCTCCGTGTTTCTCCTCATTTTGCGGGAGCAGAGGAGCTGAGAGATAGCCCGGCGGAGGAGGGGAATAAGGCTGAGTATTGATTGGATCCATGGGATACGAGATTCTGAGTTCGCTCAGTGGCGGGATGAAGTAGTTCGGGATCGCACCATTTGTACTCTGGGGGATGCTGCGCAGATGGGACCGTCCGAACTTACAGGCACACCTTGCAAGCTTCTACTAGTACAGTGATTGATGTTCCGGCCTGATGCGGAGCGGTTGTCAGTTAGCTGTACGCTGCTGTACGTTCTTCTCACGTTGCGGATGACTGCGTACGACTGCGGGCGGTGCTGCGCGGCAAGTGCAGACCGATGTGCGCAGGGGTCGAGAGCGGGAATTCGGTACCGAGGGCTACACGTCATACGGCATGCCTGATTCAGCAGAGATCAGCTGTAGAGTACTACTAACCAAGCTATCCTTAGATCGCAGGCGGTCCGTACCCCATGTCCAAGAAGCTGTAAATGAAACCACCTGCCAGTGTTTTCTCATATTGTGTAAGCCGACGGTGCAGTCAATATCATCTACGTTAACGTTAGTTAAGTGTCTAAGACTCTAACACCCTGAATCACCAACTCAAACGCGCCCGACCACGCGGTGTGCGGCTCATGCTCGCAGCTCATGCCCGCAGCTTGGCCTCGATAATTTCCGCAGCTAAATTGATCCATCAGCATTCAGTTGTCCTTCGCCCTTGTATAAAGTAGGCATCCTCACCTTGCTCAGCGATGGCGTGTGCAGTAGCTGGGTGACATGGCGTCAGAGATAAGCTTGATCTCGGTTCTGTGTGAAGCATTTGCTTGGCGTATGCGCGGCGAGCTAAACCGGAAAGATCAGAGAAAATTGACAGCCCAATGTGAGTATGTTGTTGTCACAGGCCAATGGTTGCTTGTCGTGGGTATCCACTTAGTTGGGAGTCCTCACAAGGCCTTTGTATCGTCTCGTCAACGGTTTTTTTTTCTTGTTGAAAAAAAAGAAAAAGAAAAAAAGAGCAGGCAGTAGCTGTGAGACAGCGTGAAAGAGCGCAAGTGGTACAGAGTATATTGTACATCCGAGTAAGATGACTAAAGGTTGAAAGAGGAGACTCAGAGTGTTCTCAATGCTTACCATTTCAGAACAACCATGCTTACGTAATTCGTTAGCGCGGAGGATCCAAGCGTCGAGTTGCTATGTTTCTCCGTTGTATTCGCAAAAACAAGCTCGCGAAAGACTCACGACGCGCATTTTGACGAGAGACATGGCAATGCTTGCTTCATGCAGGAGCATCGGCGGCTCGCAGGTGCACTCATATAACAAATAGTGAATCTTCGTCCTATGCATTAATATCCAGGATACAACCTCTCTCGGCCCGCGGGTACTGGTCATCGCGATACAGTGAGACGGCCTGCGACTAAACTTACTGTTAATTGTGCTAATAGTGTGCCTATATTTGCGCAGGATGAAAGATGCACTCCCCAGAGAGCTCTTGGACCGTGGACGCAGTCTAAGTTGGCAACTGCTGAGGGGATTTCCCTGGATAATCCGCGCTACTTTGCACAGCTACTCAGGAATCTTGGTCAGTTCTCCCTTGTATGCAGAGCTTGGGCTCCGTCAGCTCGTAGACATCTCTTTCGAGACAACGCCTTGGACAACGCCCACTCGTTCCGGCGCGTATTGAACTGCGGATACACTCAGTGGGCCGGCTTGCGACATGGTCACGACGGCCGATGGGGCCAGTATTTTGCAGAGACCGAGTTGGTGCCGTACAAGACCCAGAAGGTGCCCTTTTTGTTCCTTCGTACCGTTCCCGACAATGTGCTCCGCGTGCAGCGGCTGCCTCTCGTAGGCTATCTCACGGAATGGCGATCCTCGAAGACCCGCGACCGGCTCGCTCCTGGGTTTAGCCCAAAGGACAGAATTGAT